AATCACTGTAAAGTGAATCATAGCTTTTATTTCACTTTCAAATGCATATTAAAGCCTGATAACATGTTTACACAATCATATTAAGTGAGCAATATAGCTAGGCTGGAAAAATGCATATATAGTACACACATTACTTACCTTAAATATTTTTGTCCATGTAGAGTGGTGAATATGTTTATTATAGGAAGTCTGAATGAATGAAGACTGGGTATAATTGAAAACTGCAGCATTAGCGAAACACTGTAAAGCGAATCACTGTAAAGTGGGGCCCTCCTATTTAGTTTTTCCCTTCTGTCTCTTCATATAATGTATTATAGTTATTCAAAGCATTAAGACTGAAAAAGTCTCTACTTCCTAATGTTCCTATGGCTCAACTGTATCATTATCTGCAATTTATAGCCCTCGGCCTCCCTCTCGTGTTGTGGCAGCATGCCCACACACTGCCCCAGGCCCAGACTGTCATGTGCGTTAAATATTCTTTGAAGATGTTGTCAGGACACAAAGAAGTGAATGAAATACTAAAATCACAGTGTGACTGTGTTCAGTGAGGCAATAATCAGTTTATAGATTGACAATCCAAATGAGTTTTTCATGGATAAAACTCAAAATCCTATTGATATCTAAAGAATTTGACATAATCCTATTTCACTTGACTGAAAAAGTCATCGGTTGCATGCCCCTGCACTCTGCCCCAGGCCGTGACTTGTGGAACTCGATATTCATCAAGAATTACAAGAAACCACTTTTTCATACCTTGAGTATTCCTGAAGGAGAAGCCTGGACAAGACTGTGGACATGGGTATCATCCCAGAGTCCTTTAAAACCACAGACATAGCCCCACTCCACAATTGCCAAAAACTATGAACTGATTGTTCTGATATCCCACATTATCATATCAAAATCTTTGAGAGAGTCTTAAGAAAAAATTTGCATGGAATCTCGACAATTGTACAACTCAGGGCAGCTTGGGTTTAAATCGGATCATTCTTGTCCATCCCAATTAATTGATGATAATGAAGACAAACAGAATGGGGTTATATAAGAACATGAGAAAGGAGAATCACTGCAGCAGGCTTACTGGCTCATGTTGGGCAGATCCAAGTCACACCTGCCCAAGAAAGGAGTAATGCAGCAGGCCTAGTATCCAAGCTAGTCAGGTCTAACTCTCACCCACCCACACCCACTCGTGTATTTGTAGAGGCTCTTTTTAACACTACATAACATTTTAGCTTCAGTGACATTACTCGGGAGTTTGTTCCACTCGTCCACAACTGTTACCAAACCAGTGCTTTCCAATATCCTAAATCTAAATTTTTCCAACTTGCTTTTCCATTGCTGTGAGTCTTGGTTAGATAATTTTAGCACGTTATTTTTTTCTCTCTATTTATTCTTGTTTTCCATTTATACATCTCAATCATATCCCCTGTAATTCTATGCAGAACCTTTGACATGTGCTTCCATGGCATAATAGTCCACATAATACATGCAAAGGAATAACTGTAAAAGTAGTCAAATGAGTGGAATCAAAAAGCTGCCATAGTGAAAAGCTCTTTTACCCAAGGCAAAGTACTTGCCCCTGTTCTCTTTCTCATTCATTTATCCGAATTAGACATACAGGAGGGCCCCGCTTTGTGGTGCTTCGCTTTATGGCAGTTCGCTAATACTACAAACATTTCAAATTACAACCAAAAATTCATTTAACAGCTCCCTGATTTGCTATTATGGGTTCTGCACATCACTGTTTGTTTACATTCTCCATGAGCATCTTGTCTATTATGTCTGGAAACTTTCTAGAACTTCAGGTTATTGGGTATTTAATATATATGTACTACTCTGATAATTGTACTTATGTGTACTTATACCTAAATAAACTTGCACACTGTGCTGGCATGCAGGTACTTATTAAAATCACTAAGTGTCTCGCTAGCATTGAAGACAAAATGATGATAATACTAATAATCACTCTGGGGCATTTTAAATGTTGTATATTACATTATTGTATACATTTTCATTAATCCATCTATGATTTTTTTTTCTAAATTATATAAGAAGCATGCTACATATCAAGTGCAACTAATGTAACATTTTACTGTGGCAACGTTTTGCTCTCCAGGAGCTTTGTCAAGCTGTTAACGGTTTGTGCTGGACCTGAACGTAGTAATGGCGGTGAATATTTGGCCAACAAAGCTTGACAAAGCTCCAGGAGAGCGAAATGTTGCCACAATAAAATGTCACATTAGTTGCACTTGTGTCCTTTTACTCTACATATTGTTGGTAATTCTACCAACATGCTACATATCATATAAACATGCTACATATCATGTAAACATGCTACATATCATAAAAACATAATACACATACATACAACACTAGTAGAACATATTGACATCAATATGAGATGTGGTAACCAGGCAGTTTGTAGGAGTGACAGCAGAAATTTTCTGTAGTCCAACACTAGAGAAACTGTGTACAATATAGTATTACTGGGGGGAACTGTAGA